CTTTGTTGGGCCTGTCTTGTAGGAGGTGACTTCTGGGTACTCGTCTGGCTCTGTCAATCTGTTTTTTCTGTAATACCCACCTGCTGAAGTGGACTGAATAAGGACTGGGAATGGCTGAGCCATTACAAACATTGAATCTATCTCCCCTTGTAAGTATTCTCACACTTCTTATTAAACTGTCTGTACTGGGCTATCTTGATTATCACTTCAAAAGTTTTTTTCTCTTACTTAATTGGCCTCTCAGAGTTGATAGGACAACTCCCACCTGTTCATGCTCTCTGTATGTGTGTATATATATCTCCTCAATATATGTTCCACTCTATATGCATCCAAAGAAGTGGGCTGTAGCCCACGAAAGCTTATGCTCTAATAAATTTGTTAGTCTCTAAGGTGCCACAAGTACTCCTGTTCTTTTTGTGGATACAGACTAACACGGCTGCTACTCTGAAACCTATCAAAAACAGACACCACAAAGTCTGTCTAAACTTTGCTTTATAAAACAACACTGCCACACACCTCATGACAAATCAAAAATATGCTAGATAAGATAGTCTATTTTGAAAACGTAGATAATGGAGTGAGATATCCTCTCTATTTGCACTATTTCAACCAAGATGTTCCCGATTTCAAGTATATAGTGTAATGCATTGAGTTTCAAACTGTGGGACACATGAGGTTATAAGGTAAAGGAATAAGAATTCCTCTCACTAGCTGAGTCTCCTGCTCCAATTCCTACTACTGCTGCCAGACTGGAAGAACAAGGAAGGAAGGAGGGATGAAGAGCGAGGGGGTGTGGCCTCTCCCTGTGCAGGTGTGTGTGGGGGGTATTCCCACCTATTCGCCTCTCGAGGCTGATGCACAAGCACCCCCATGGGAAGTAGTTACTCTGCCTGCACAGGCTCTTTCACATGCATTCTGGGTATTGCCCCAGGGCCAGAAGAACCTGTGGCAATTCTGGTGGTCCTAGGGGTAGGGACATGAGGGTTACAGCACGTCTGTCTGTGTCTTGCTGGGGCCACCTGCCTGGAGTATGTCCCAGGCAGGGGACTCTTGCAGGCTAGGGAGCAGAGGGTGCTCTGGCCAACAGGGGCTTCCAGACCCCAGGCATCCATGGAAATTCTTCTGGTGCATGGAAGGAATACTGCAGTAAATATCCTGTACTGTTTGTACTATAGTAACACCTAGGACCCCAACTGATACTGGGTCCCTATTGTGCTCAGCCCTGTATAAACACAGAATAAGAGACAGTCACTGCTCTAAAGAGCTTACAATCTAAACGGACAAGACAAAGGGTAGGGGAAAGGAGTATTACATACAAGCAGAATGATGGTTTTCAAATGTAATTTTAATGCCATGATCTTTCTAAAAATATTTTGGGGTGGTGGTTTGTTGGGAGCAAATTCACTGAAAAGATAGGCATGGCCGGGGTAAGGAAAAAGGAGAAGTGGAAAACAGAGGGTGTGAAGCTGAAGTAGAAAGACTGTGAGGGAGGGGGCAGAAGGAATGAACAATCATTAGAGGGGAGAGAACGTCCAGAGTGAAAGCTGTAAAAAATCACTTTGGCACTGATGGCATCATCACTGTTCACAGTTCCCTACTACAGCTGCAGTTCTCAGCTCCAGCCAGCTGTTGCTGGCTGAGCTCCTCCCAGCAATGTCTTTCCCAGTGTGCACATTTATCCTCCCCCTTTCTCTTCTGTCACTGCCACTGTTTCATACCTACTCCCGCCTCTAAGCCATCCACTTGCCTATCTTATCACCTCCCTGGTTCCCTTTTCTCACTATGTCACCTTCATATCTTCTTTCATGCTACCCCTTATGCAGGTATCTGTCTCCCTGAAAAGCTTGTCTATTTAAGCACATGTTCCCCGTTCCTTCCAACTGTTCACTACATCCACATGTTGCATCTTTGGGGAAACAAATGGTATCTCTGTATGTGTATGTTGGAGCCCCATCCTATTGTAAAAATTATAATAATTAGCTACTGGAAAACAAGCATTTATGGTAACTATTATATACATTAAAGATTTAAAAATACCTTTGCATTGTATACAATGGGATATATTCATTATTTTGCTTCTAAGAACATTTGGAGATCCAATATAGAATTCTATCCAACTGCATGCAAAATATGGTGGCCTGAGTGCTTGTTTGCATGAGGACCATCTTTGAGTTACCAGGTCTCCGAGACCCAGATCCACAAAGGGACTTAGGCATTGCAATGCCTAACGTTTAAGCTACCTAGGAATCACCAGAATACCAATGGGATCTATAAAGCCTGGGTAGGGGCCCAGGCTCTGAGCCAAAGAATGGGATCCACAAAATCCAGCATGCTATCCAATGGGAGATGTTGATGAGGGAGTGTGTCCTAAGCCTCTGCCCCTCTGAGTCCGGCACCAAAGTCTGGGTTGCAGGTAGGCACCTATCTCCACTTGCAATTCGCAGCTGTGAACCCTCTTCTGGAGTATACTGTTTCTTGCGTGAATGAGTTAGGCAGGCACCAACCTTCACATAAAATGGCTGAAGGAGGAGGAGGTGGTAGTGGTGCCCTCCCCAAAACTTTTGGTCCAGTTGTTGGAACAATCACACAAGATGTGGGAGAACCAAGTTAAATTCCCCTGCACACACAATGGGGAGAAAGCAATTGAACATGGGGGTCTATCACCTCTACGGGGAGTGCCCTAGCCACTAAGCTATGTGATAAGATATTCTAATGTGGGGCTCCTTCAATCTCTCCTTTTGAAGCTGTTCCACTTTGGATAAATATTTAAATAGTCACTGAGCCACAGAGAGATAGCAAGAATGCCTATATAGCCTGATAGTTAGGGCCTCCATCTAAGAAATGGGAGACCTAAGGTCCAGTTCCCCTGCTTCAGTGGCTCTTTGAATAATTACAGTGGGACAGCTTCAATGGGAGAGAATGAAGTCCTACTATATCAGATCCCACAAGATAGGTGGGAGAATGCCTATTTCCATCTGGTTTGTGGATCATGCTGGGGTTTAGGCATGAGATAGGCATCTGGGAACCTGCCTGAGGCAACAGTGCACACACCCAGAACCAGAAACTCTAGGGGACTTTTACAGCAAAAATGTAGGCACCAAGTGAGTTTAGGTATTTTGGGATTAGATGGCAACAAAATGGGGGCTTTGTAGATAGCAGTGGGGCCTAAAACTATGACTTAGGTGCCTAAATCCCTGATATAGGCACTGAAGTTCCTTTGTGGATCTTGCCCCAAGTGCCCTGGATGTGAAATTGCTAAATAACCTAGCCTTCCCACCCTTGCTTGGGAGCATCTGTGGTCACCAATTTGGGTTGGTGACATTTTGAAGATCAGTTCAAACAGAAGATTAGTTCAGGTCTGCTACCAAATTAGACAGGCCTCAAGATCATTTGCAACAAAAGTGGGAATAGACACTTCCACTGATGTTGGTTGACTGACAAAAATGGTAAGGCAGTTTAAGGAGTTTTTCCTTGTCTTTAGCTTTAAAGATTTAATTTTCTGACTTGCCTTTTTGCTTGACCGCCACTTCCAAAGACCCTTAAGTGCCAGAATTCCTCTCCAATGAAATCCCGACATCCCCATTCTGTCTCTCCCTCCCTATCGATTTTCAATGGAGAGCCCCTCTTCGACTCTCTCTCCCCGGCCCATCATTTATTCTGGCTAAGGACAAGTTCCCTTGGGACATGGTTCAGGTTACTCCACTGTCAGCCAGGGAGGATCACCAAAATCAGCAAGAGGTAATTCCCTCTCTAGGGAGTAATGCATATGCAATCATATGGTACTTGTCAGTGGAGTAAATTGCCACTCTCTCAAACTCAAACATCTCCTTATGAATTTCCACACTATCTTAAGACCTCCCTCTTTTTAAAAAAAAAGGCATATTAAAATTAGGCTTATACAGTATTATGAATTACTTCAATGAAGACAATTTTTATTTAAACAGTTTACACACAAAATATATACTGAAAAAAGTTTTCAGAAAATAAATGCACATAATTCTAACCAGATTTGAAATATTGGTACTTATCCTTTTTCACATCATTTACCAACCACTTAAACCTAAGTGAACCTCAAAACAAAGTTAATTAATCAAAATAATTTAGCCATGGCTTGCCATATCCAACACATCAAAACTCTGGAGATTTACTGTGTGTATGACAGAATGAGAGTAAACACAAGCTGTATTAATATATGCATGTATAAAATATTTGAGCATACTATGTTTTTTCCAATATAATACAACCATTTTGCTGTAATATGTATATATCATCAATAGAAAATTTAAAAATTATATTGTATAAGCAATACTAGGCAATATATACTGTGACAAAGTTCCTCCTCTATCTTGGTGGGTCCTGCACTTATTGGCGGATTTTCTTGCCTCAGAGATTCACCATGTGGGTTGGGGAACAGCCCAGAGGACTTCCCGTCTGGAAGAACCCACAGTCCAGGTTAATTGGGAGGTTTGGGGGGGAACCCAGTCCCGCCCTCTACTCCGGGTTCCAGCCCAGGGCCCTGTGGACTGCAGCTGTCTATAGTGCCTCCTGTAACAGCTGCATGACAGCTACAACTCCCTGGGCTACTTCCCCATGGCCTCCTCCAAACACCTTCCTTAGTCTCACCACAGGACCTTCCTCCTGGTGTCTGATAACGCTTATGCTCCTCAGTCCTCCAGCAGCACACCCTCTCACTCTCAGCTCCTTGCGCCTCTTGCTCCCAGCTCCTCACACTCGCACCACAAACTGAAGTGAGCTCCTTTTTAAAGCCCAGGTGCCCTGATTAGCCTGCCTTAATTGATTCTAGCAGTTTCTTCTTAATTGGCTCCAGGTGTCCTAATTAGCCAGCCTGCCTTAACTGGTTCTAGCAGATTCCTGATTACTCTAATGCAGCCCCTGCTCTGGTCACTCAGGGAACAGAAAACTACTCATCCAGTGACCAGTATATTTGCCCTCTACCAGACTCCTGTACCCCACTGGTCTGGGTCTGTCACAATACAAATTAAAAATATACACTCAAATGATTAGCAATAAAAAAAACTCTCTTATGATCAAATTTAATGAAACAAAAGCTTCAGTTATATTTAGTATCAAGTTTGGTTAAAAGCCAATGGAAAAAATATTCTTTAGGATTTTCAGGCTTAAAAGTATGTCAATTCTTTTCAAATACAAATACATAAAAACAAAGCTGATTAAGTTAAATTAAAGTGTTGTATTTTCTCCCTTCCAATACACATAGCACAAATTCTACTGTAGCTGGGATAAAAGAGAAAAATTAATGAGAGCTGTACAAGAGTATGCAATGCCAAAGCATCGTCCAACACACTTGGGTATGGTATAAATCCTAAAATGGTTATAATCTAGACTTGGACTTAAAGGAGGTTCCCCCCCACCCCTGGTATTAAATAATAAACACTTTTCCATGTTTGAAACTTTACTAAAGACATTTGGCAATCTTTTAAATTAATTTACACACTTTCCATTTCTAGAACATTTGGTTGAAATAAATACACATTTGGAATTGCTGTTTTACAATGGTTGTCATTTCTATGCTACACGTCATAGTATTTGGTTGACACTGTATTAGAATTACTTACAAATAAATTGAAAAATGTGGCCACATTAACAATATTCTAATATTACAAAAAAATCCAGTAGCCTATCATAATTAACAGCTGTAAATGTGGACAGGTCCTGTTCAGCTTTACTTAACAACAACAACAAAAAACCAACACAAACAAAAAAGATCAAAATAAATATGTCCTTATCCTTCCAACTTTGCAAACAAATGCACATAATTCAAAATTACCTATGAATATAAAGGAATGATAAAATGTAAGTTACTTTAACTATGAGGAAAATGATTTTTAAGATATTCACAAGCAATGCAAAATATTTTATCAGATCCCATGTAATACTATTGATATTTCGTCATGCTACACACAAATTAACAACGATGAATTTCAACTTATGTTTTTACTTTGATATTAATAGAATACTGAGTTTAATCTGAGTACTGAAATGGATTTTAGCATTTTAAAAGTATTTTAGACCTATTCTGAATAGTTTACCAATGGCAACAAATTCCAGTTGATGTAATGAGAAGCTTTCATATCCTTTATTTTCCGCAGGTGGCAGGACATTATCCAATCCAATCTGTATCTAGAAAATCTATAATTTCGGTATTTACATTTTTTTGAGGGAAAGTTATGTATATCCCATAATATCCAGTCCATATTTAACAAACATTTCTTAAATCTTACTTGTGTGTAATACAGCAGCTGCACTACTTGAAATGTCTATTAAAGATGAAACACATTTTCCATTCTAATCTATCATTTTCACACACTCATAACAGTGATAAGATTTACACTTTTGGCCTAAAGTTCTTCATGCTAGGTCTCCTTCCAAATGTAAATTTTTTAGGGAAGTTTGAGCAAAGTTTCTGCAACCATTCTGGAGGTATGAGGTGTTAATAAAAAAAACCCAAAACAAAGAAAAAAACATTTTTACCATAGTTATATTATTGGAAATGTCCATTTGTAAAGAATTTTTAGCATCCTTACATGAGAAGTGATATTACAAACCAATCATTTTCCGAAACTGTCCCCTTTTCCCCATGGAAGAAAAAATCTAAAACTTCTAATATCCATTCCAATACATCAAAGATAGTAATAGGGCTAGATTCCATCTGCCCTTGTGTGCACGCAGTGTGTAGAGAAGTGGGAATATGGAATTTGCCACACACACACACACGGCATAAGGGCCAGGCAAAATTCTGGTCCCTACTTTGAGTAGGCAGAACCCCATGGCATGGTGCAAAGCCACTCTGCCCCCAACTCAAGCTTCTCCCTAAATGGCACCATCTAGCTCTTAAGACCTCATCCCAAACCAGAAGAAGTCAATCTTTCCATAGAGTTTAATGTGTCAGTTCAGGCCCATATTTACTGATCCTTGTTATAGAAATAAGAAAGTGTTAGGCACTAAAATTAGGTACCTTTCCTTCATTACAAAAATAATTTGGTTTCGTGCCTCTTTGTGATAAACCTTCCTGGGTATATAAAAACAGAAATAAAGGCCACAATTTGCATTGGCATCAAAGGGAAGTAAAACCTATTATGTAAATAAACGTAACTCTTGCAAACATATATTACAGAGCTGAGGTAAAAGTTCAATCTGTATTACTGTCCTGAAAAAAGTACTTTTAACACTGAAGCCTACTTACTATTCAAATATTCTTATGATGCCACCTCTTTACTAATCTTCATTTCCCTCATTCTGGTGTTCATGTCAGCAGAGTCACATGTCTCATTCATTGCTTCTGGAGGCAGATTTTCAGTAAGACTTTCTGTGGAAATGATGTTACATTTCTTATCATCCGAAAATTGCATAAATAATTTTTTGTCACACTTAAGTTCATCTTTTGCAGTATTTTTGCCATTACTATATGAACTTGGTTTCTTCCTGGGTCGTTTTCTAGAAGGTGGTTTAGTGGTAGAATTACTTCTTGAAACTATACCACGGGCATTTCTATGTTGCAGATCTCGTGTTTGCTGCTGTGCATTCTCTTTTTTACCTGTCAAGAAACTGCTTTCAGTACAGCTATGTTTTGGTTCAGAACTTTGCAGAAAACGTGATTGCTGTGCTTCACTTTGAAGTTGTGAACATGGTTCAATTGGTTTTGTATTGTCAAGTCCAAGAAGGCAGCATGTACTTTTACAGTAGATAGCATGACGAGCTGCAACCAAGGTATCTGCTACATTACTCTGCTCACACAGAACATCTACCTCTAGTTTCATTCCAGAACCATACTGCTTAAACTGGAAAATCAGGCCTTGTTTACCTAGAAATTCCTGAAACAAGAGCTTAGCTTCATCACTCCAGTGTTCCCCTTTAGCAGGAATCACACCAGATAAGGAGCAGGAGTAAGATAATCGTGGTAAACAAATAAGTTCTTCTGGAACAACTTTCAGTTTATCAATATCTGAGTAGGGAATATATGCAGGAAAGCCATAATCAATAAACATAAGAAGAACAGACTGATTTGAAATTTCAGAAACTTCTACCCTGTTCCACTGCGCGTACAACCCAAACTTGATCAAACAACTTGCACCAGGAGTCACAAGGTCTTGTGGCAAAGTTGGCAAATTGCCTGGAAGGTCAGAAAGTAGCATAAACAAGGTTTTCATAGTGTCAAATAAGTCTTCTAATTGAATACTGAAGTTTGAAGGATCAGTAACTGTAGTTGCAAAACCAGGATATTGATTACCACTTTGGAATAGCGCCCATGTAACTGAATTTATTCTAAAAGACAGTACAGATGTCTTAGAAGCCACATTATTTGCACTTTCTGTACAATTAGGTTTGTTGATCTTGCCTTGCCCAGAGATCTGATTCAAATATTCCAAAAGTAGAATCCCATCTACTAAGATATCTACTTCCCAGAGACAAGAAGATTCCAAGTAGCTCAGAAACAGGAGCTTTATTTCACGATGTGCAATTTTCTTTATCGCATAGTCACGTGACATTTTACCTGAATTTTGAATCCAAATCCATTTACATAATATGGCTTGTTTAGGAATACACTTGATCTCATTACTGAGCATTTTTGTATTACGCAAGGATACCATTTCACATCTACCACGATCCATGAAGAAAACTAACATTTTCTCCTCACTAACAAGCTTCATCACTTTTGATCGGTACCACTTCAAGGTGTTTTTAGATTTTGTCAAGCATTCCAATCCTTCTTGAATATTTTCTACTGCAATCAAACGGTTTCTCTTTGCTTCTTTGGCAACCATTACATTTAAATCCAAAAATGTTTGTACATTTCTCATTAATTTTACGTGGAAATTTCCACATTTTGAAATATGAATTATTTCTGCCATTTCTAGTTGTCCAGGATTTAGATCTTGGTTAGGGATTTTAGAGAGAATTTCAGAGGTGTTTCTAGTCTCAACAGACTCGTATTTGTTATGACCTCTAGAGTTCTTCCTTAGTTCCTCATCTTCAGGATCTGCATTTGTGACTGGAATGTCTTGTTCTGTATTAGTTTCCATATTTAGCATTTGTGTGTTCTGTAATCCTGAGCTGTCATGTCTCTGCATTAACTCATTAACCACAGACTTTCCATCACAAATTATATCTACCTCCCACTGTTGTTCATGTTGTTGCAAAAATACACAAGTAATTTGTTTATTATTTACTTTTCTGGAAAAGTAGAACATAACATTGCTGCTCCAGCTTCCATCAGGATGAGTACTTTTTACTCTACTAAGGAAACAATGGATACTGAACCTTGGCAAAGTTAAGAACTTTCCTTGAATTTTGTAGATTTTTGATGGACTCACAACTGCTGTATTACCATAGTCAATGAATTCTACCTCATAGGATTTTCCTGATCTAACTGTTTTAATAACTGCTCTATATAAGAAACAATCAATTACATATTCTGCTAAAACAAGATCCCCTGCCACAAGTTCATTCAGGTAATTTTCATGGTCTACATTTATTTTTCCTTCATTTAGTTCTTCTGCAAGTTGAATGATCATGTTTTCATCCTCTGCGAGCTGAATATAGAAACTAGATGGGCTATTAATATTGGAAATGTAACCTGCTAACTGAGAATTCAGCTCAATGTTACGTGGAGGAAGATTGATATATTTGGGTCTATTTTCCCTCCCTTCTTGTTGACCTGTATAATTTAGTTTATTGGTGCAAGATTCATTCATAATATTTGCAGGTATTTCCTGCAAATTGAAAACAGGGCAAAGTAGAGATTCAGGAGTAAATATTCCATCTGCATTTTTCTCTCTGTGTTCCAAAGGTATATTCATAACATTTTTACAAACTGGCTCTTTATTGCCATGGAATGTTGGTGGTATAAAGGGCATATTGCACAATTTTTGTGGAACAAGCACAGTTTGTTCTTTATCTTCAAAATTCTCTTGAACACCAGTCTGAAAAGATATATCATGTACTTCAGGTTTTATTTCAGTTTTCAAGGCAATTCTCTCAATATTTTTATCTTTTGTTTTATTACATTCATCAGGTTTTACTTTGTGTAGCTCCTTACTATTTTCAACAGACTGCTCTGTACAACTTTTCACATGCTCCAATTCCTCTGTGTATTTTTTCCCATTCTCAGACAATAAATGTCGAATTTTCTGATTTATCTGGATATGTCCATCATACAGCTCCACACCAATCTGGCCATCTGACTCTCTGGATACTACTACTGCCTTCAATGGTTTACCCATGAAATTCTCCTCAAACCATTTATTGACTTCTACTGGAATTTCTCTCTCTCTAAGATCTGACAGATAACATTTAATGGCTTGCATGGGCGTCAATAGTAAATCTGTGGCATGATCTGGAATAGGCATCAGTTTGTCTCTCACTACCAGCTGTTTATTCCCAAAGTCCACAAAATAAGCTAGTAAACAGGATGATGATCCCGTGGAAGATGCCAAAGCTCTGTAAAAGAGACCATCTTCAAAATATTTGGCTATGCATAATCGTATTTTGCTCGGGTCATATTCTGAACTGTTTGGTATGTTACTAATCTCTGCAATCTTCTTCATCAATTTGTCTATAATTTCAGTGTTACGATTAAGCTGGCAATAAAATTTTGCAGGGCTGTATATATGAGTTATATATACCTCCTCTTCACTTCCAATTTTTATATTAAAAGATGAATAGCAAAAACTATACAGAAAAACTGATGGTTTAAATGCTTTTGTGAATCCAAAAAATTGGGACTGGCCATGGCCATGCTCTATGAGAAACTGCTGCGTACCAATAAATGGAGACTGTAAATCAACTAAATTACACAAGCAGTTAGGCCTTATGAGAATTAGAGCACAAATGACGCAAGTCAATAGCCCACTGGAAGCAGAAATTAAGTCTCCAAAATCCTTACATGCCTCTTTAGTCCAAATGAATCGGTAAAATTGTGAGGGTTCATTTACATTCTTAAGACTACATGTAAAAGCTTGACTTTCCAAAGTTAAAAAATCTGGAAGAATAGCTTGAAGATCTTTAAGTAAAACTCTTTCCTGATTACCATAGTCTACAAATATCACATCAACTTCATTTCTGGATACTTGTTTCAGAAAAGCTGCTCTGTACCACTTTCCATCCTTGGAGTGTTTTGCAACACAGGGAATCTGGCCAGTTTTATAGGGATTGCTATGCATTTCATAATAACTCTGAATTTGCTCCATTAAATTCATTAGTTCTGATAATTTGCTTTGCAACTGACAAAAAAAATGGGATGGAGAAATAATATGAGAACATCTGACATCAAGAACTGCTCCTGGTTTAAACATTAACTCTTTATAAGAGCTCATATGGTCACTTCTCCCAGATATTATATAATGCTTTCTGGAAAGAGTACTTTCCCAATTTGGAAAAGATTCGAGAGATTCTCTTGCCACAGAAAAAGTGTTTAATAACTGTTTGTTTTGACAGATATTTCTAGTTGCTGGTACTTTACTTTTAGGCATAACATATGTGCCTTGTGTATTTATATATTTTTTGTTTTTGTTTTTTGAATTTAGGCCTTTAGAATTTTTCATAAAGTTCAAAAGAGAATCCGGTTGCACTTCCCAGTACTCAGCATATCCAGCCTGAACCATAAGTGTGACAACATCCATTTGTTCCAAGCCATCCATAAATTGTGCATTAACAATGTACTTGTCATTTTGCTTTGCAATGACATAAAGCAAGAGCTGTTTGTCAAATACAACCTTTTTAAAGAAATCTGTTTCTTTTTTAACCCATACATCCTCAATGGGAAATGCATGAGCAAGTGCACAATGCATGGCAAGTGCTGGTAATTTACAAAACTCTGGAAGCAAAGTTTTCACATCATGAACGGGTACGGTATCTGTATTTCCAAAATCCAAAAAATAAACGTTAATGTTTACACCTTCCACTTCAGTGATAAGTCCTCGATAGTACTCCATGTCTTTGCTATACCGGGCACAGCAGAGTAACCCAGGTTTTGGGTTTTCAACAATCTTATCATAAACTCCATATCTATTATACACATCTGCAATATTTTTCATCAAGGTTTGAAACTCATTGTTATAGTCATTAGTTTGAATCCAGAAGTTTGATGGATTCAACACATATTCGACAAAAGCAATATGAACGGCATCTATTTTCATTTCTACTGTTTTGCAATAGATTGATAAAGAAGGGTCTTTTTCAATTAAGCAGATTCCCATTTGTTCTGTGTTTCCAATCAAACTCTCAACTGAAACACAGATCTCTTCATAAGCTTTGATGTCTCCAAGTATATTAGTGACATTTGTACTAGAAACTAGGGAACATGCTTGAACTACTTCATTCACCTGTTGTGGATATTCAGCATTAACTTCAGATTCTTGACTATGTAATGTAACATAATACAAACATTCATTGGCATTGAACAAATCAATGCTGGCATACACAGCAGTCTGTCCTAACAATGCCTGTTTAAATTCTTTTAGTTGAGAATTTCTTTTTACAGCTTCACTCTGATCACTGAAACATGACAGTGCACACTGAAATGAAATCATTGGTAAGGAAGTGAATTCTGGTTGAAGTTTCAGAACATGACTGGAAGGCACAGCTTCACTGTTGCCAAAATCCATGAACCAGACCTTTATTTGGTCATCAGAGAGGAGCTGCTGTATCACTCCCCGGTGCCACTGTCCTTTTTGTCTTTTTGCAGCACAGAGAGTTCCAAAACTATCACAAGATGGAACATTTTCCCTATTGACAGCTTCATAATGCAAAGTCATTGTTGTGGTCAAGTCTTCTAGCCCTTTCTGCCATTTTAGCATCTGACAATAAAATTTGCTTGGACTGATTGCAACATTTATTTTTACCTTCTCTATACTGCCGACAGATAAAGAAGGCAGGAATCTATCCAGAATTGGCTGAAACGCTGGTAGATTTTCAGCATTGCTGAAAGAAGAGGACTCTGGCCTTGTGTATTTCTGTTGCAGCAATTCTGGCATTTGTTTGCAAAGGAGCTCTTGGGGTAATTCCTTTAACATTTCTACAATAAGACGAAACGAATCTCCATCAACAAGTTTTCCTAATTGCAGTTCAAGAACATCACTAGTGACTTTCGGTACTTCCAGGAGAAACAATTGGTATGGTAAAATGGCTTGCACGTGACCTTTAATCTGTATTCCTATTAGAGAAGAAAAATAATTTAGAGCTTTTGGACCCCATTTTTCCCCAACTGGAAGTATGTTTGAAAAAACACCATACACCACCTTTGGAGGCAGCTGGAACCATTCACCACATGCAGAAGAAACATTTATTTCATTAACTATTAGTACTTTCCCAATGTCTATGAGAAACACATCATAGATTTCCTCTTTCTTTTCCAGCACTCTTCCTCTATGCCATTCTCCATTTATGTCCTCCACCAAACAAAACTCGCCAATGCCAATACCGTCCTTTACTTTGGATACATGCTGTATTTCCTTTTGCAATATGTGGTAATCAAAGTCATATTCTGTATTATATTTCCCCTGAAATGTCACGAGCACTTCCTTTGGATGGCACTCTACGTGAGTTACCTTCAGATCCAGGTCTAAAAATTTTGATGATGGAGACAAAGAATCCATTGTCTACAAAATAAAAAGATCAGTTTTGATAATCAGCCAGTTTTAAATTCACTCTTTTTACATTAACCGTATATAATTTCTTAAAGCAATTTGTATTCAGTATATCTTTAACAGTGCATTTTGCACAAAATAAATACAATAAACGTTTACTGATTTTAATTCTAATTTTTCCACTTCTTTGGGTACATTTGGCACAATTCTCCCTCAGATGTTGTCTGCATGTGTTCCTCACAGACAAACAGTGCGTCCTGGACTTACTATTGTGCTTTCTGACTTGCTTCATCACCTTACATGGAGCAATCCCGAGGGGTCCTCAACGAGACAAAAATTCCTCATCTCTATTCATTTTATAACAGACACATTTGCAAAACAAGAACACAGGAGGCTCAGTATTTCTGCACAAAACAAGAAGTGGAAGTGACGTTTCTCTGTCATTTGTGTTATCTCTGCCAATTCTACAACTGGACTGCCTTTCACTCTGCAGGTAGTCTGGAGACATTCCAGAGCTTTAACAGTGGTACTCAGGAGCTGAACCCCACACACCTGACAGCTCATCTGAAGGTTTGACTCTATCGAGAAGACAAATCACAAAGATTCAGTGCTCTGTTTGAACAACTTTTTTGTTATTTACAATGAAGTATGCCCCCCCTTCCACTTCTTGCTATTAGTTTTATTTGAGGGATTTTTATTTCCCCAAGACACACATCTCTCTCTCTCTCTCCCCACCCCTTTCCTCCTTCTCCTTCAGGAGGATCAATCTGTGGTCCTGTGCAGTAGGGCTTACCTCTTTTGATGGAATTACAACTTTTAGTATAGCTGCAGATGTGTTATTCTTTATAATATACTTCCCATGTCTTTTTGGAGAAATAATTGGAAGTCACAGTTCTACCACAGAAAAAAATGGTTTTATGTTAATTATATGTTGAATGCCTCTTTTACTGTACTTACTTGTAGTACTCCATAACATAACAGTGGATTTTATAAAAAAAAGTAAATATTTTCACATCACTTTTAAACAAAATGCCCTGACCTACATTTAACCAAGTCTCCAAGGTTCAGCATGTCTAGAGCTTTATTCAAATGTAATGCAACTGGTCTGACTTCACATTCTTTGAATCAATATCATGCCCCTACAGTTTCACACCACCACCACCACATGCCTAAATATGATATTCCAGTTAATAATTAACGACAGTCAGTTTGTCAAACACATTTGCCCATTGTGCAAGAGCAAGCTGGTAGGAATCAATCTCTGTCAAGCAGAGGCTTTAGTTTCTCAGAAACTAAGCTTTACATTTTTTAAAAATATGTATTTCTAGTTCCTATGGAGGAAGGTAACATAAGAACACAAGAATGCCCAATATCAGTGATTCATCTGGCCCAGTATCCTGTCTGCTAACAGTGGCCAGGGCCAGTTACTTGAGAAGGCATGAACGGAACAGGGCAATTATTGAGTGACCAATCCTCTCATCCAGTCCCAGCTTTTGAGGTTTAGGGACTCCCAAGCATGGGGTTGCACCCAGACCATCCTGACTAAAGCCACTAATGGACTTATCTTCCATGAACTTATTTAATTCTTTTTTGAACCCAGTTATACTTTTTTGGCTTTCACAGCATCCCCTGGCAACGAGTTCCACGGTTTGACTGTGAGTTGTGTACACCATAGATTTTTATAATGGCATTATGATTTTTTTTTCATCTTAGCTATCCCTTTTCTAATAGTTCCTAACATTCTGCTAGGTTTACTGACTGCTGCTTGACTTGGAGAAGATGTTTTCAGAGAACTATCCACAATGACTCCAAGATCTCTTTCTTGAGTGGTACTGTAACAGCTAATTTAGAGCATGTCATTTTGTATGTATACTTGGGATTATGCTTTCCAATGTACATTACTTTGAATTTAACAACACCAAACTTCATCTGCCATTTTGTTGCCCACTCACCCAGTTTTGTAAGATCCCTTCACAGTAAGCTTTTATCTTAACTATCTTGAGTAATTTTGTATCATTTGTGAACTTTACCACCTCACTATTGACCCCTTTTTCCAGTTCATTGATGAGTATGTTGAACAGCACTGGTCCTGGTACAGATTCTTGGGGGGCGGCCTTATTTACCTCTCTCCACTGTGAAAACTGACTATTTATTTCCTACCTTTTGTTTCCTACCCTTTAACCCAGCCTTACTGATCCACAAGAGGCCCTTCCCTCTCATCCCATGCCTGCTTACTTTGCTTATGAGCCTTTGGTGAAGGATCTTGTTAAAGGCTTTCTAAAAGTCCAAGCACACTATGTCCACTGGATCATCCTTGTCCACATACTTGCTGACCCACTCAAAAAAATTCAAAAGATTGGTGAAGCATGAGTTCCTTTTACAAAAGCTATATTGACTCTCTCTCAACATATCATGTTCATCTATATGTCTGATAATTCTATTATTTACTGTAGTTTCAGCTAATTTGTCTGATACTAAATTTAGGCTTATTGGCCTGTAATTAACAGGATCACCTGTGGAGTCTCTTATTTAAAAAAAATCAACATTACATTAGCTATTTTCCAGCCATCTAGTAGAAAGACTGATTTAAGTGATAGGTTACATTTCAGTTAGTAGCTCTGCAATTTCACATCTGAGTTACTTCAGACCTCTTGGGATAATATCATCTGGTCCGAGTGACTTATTACTGTTTAATTTATCTATTTGTTCCAAAATCTCTATTCAACACCTCAATATGGGACAGTTCCTCAGATTTATCACCTAAAAAGAATGGCTCTGGTGTGGGAATCTCCCTCACATCCTCTACAGTGAAGACTAATACAAAGAATTCATTTAGCTTCTGTGCAATGGCCTTGTCTTCCTTGAGTGCTACTTTAGAACCTTGATTGTCCAGTGGCCCTATTGATTGTTTGGCAGGCTTCCTGCTTCCAAAGTACTTTAAAAAATTTGGCTGTTAGTTTGTGCGCCTTTTGGCCTGCCTAATTACATTTTTACACTTGACTTGCCAAAGTTTATGCTCCTTTCTATTTTCCTCAGTAGGATTTGACTTCCAATTTTTTTTAAAATATCTTTTTGTCTCTAAATGGCTCTTTTACTCTGCTTTTTAGATATGGTGACATTATTTTGGTGCCACAGTAGCCCCTGGTGGGAGAAAGGTGTAATTACAGCACCTGGCAGAATCTATTTTCTGCAGAGATAAAAAACCTACAGGGGATATGATTAACTCTATACTAACTATCAAAGGGGTAGCCGTGTTAGTCTGGATCTGTAAAAGCAGCAAAGAGTCCTGTGGCACCTTATAGACTAACAGACGTATAGGAGCATGAGCTTTTGTGGGTGAATACCTACTTGGTTCAGATGCAACCAAAGAAGTGGGTATTCACCCACGAAAGCTCATGCTCCTATATGTCTGTTAGTCTATAAGGTGTCACAGGACTCTTTGCTGTCTACACTAACTGTATTTCAGTTTTTTTAGCATGATCAATACACAAAGAAAGCCTAACCAATTTAGTGATGCCTTCATAATCAAATATATACTAGGGATGTAAAATAGTAAACGGTAAGCCGGTAAGCATTAGTCTTACTGGTTAACCCAGCTTAACCATTAACCCCCAGCCTCCGGCTGGCTGGAGCAGCCCCAATCCCAGCCCCGAGCCAGCAGGAGCAGCCCCAGCCCTGCCAGCCAATCCCAGCCGACCTCAGCGGCAGCCCCAGCCCCTCTCCCTTTCATCAGTTAAGCAATATAATTTTAATTGTTTAACAGGTTAACTTTTTAAACAACCTTTACATCCCTAGTATCTACTATGTTAAGAGAGATCAATGTCTTTATTTCTGTTAGTATATAGGTTTGTTTGTCAGCCTGAGATAGAATTTTGGGTTTGACTTTTTGATACTCTTATATGTTATAGTAAAATGTGTAAACAAAGGATAAAGATACTGTGTGTTACATCTGCCCGCAAGCAGATGGGTTGAAAAAAGATAAGAGATGGAACTAAAGTGTTATAGTACACTCCCACCATACCCTGTATGAGGATACAATGGAAGGCTGCCTGGCTCTTTCCTCAAGCCAAAGTCAAGCAACCAGTGAGGAGGGGTAAAGTGGGCTGGGGAGCAGGGGGGGACATAAGAAACACTAAAAGCCAAATAAAAACCTGGCCTTAGCCAAAGCACAACCTCACTCCTTACCCCTCCCCATGGGATATAAAAAGGGTGGGATGAAGACCACAGACCCACTTCCCCCCAAAACAGAACACGACCATAAATTGTAAGGGGTGGGACTGTGGGTGTGCATTGCAGGTATATTTGGGCCTCCTCTAAAAAAGAGGAGATGGAAATGGGGACACAGGCAAGACTCCGCACAGTCAGAGCTGGAAGGGGGACATGGGGTAAACGTTCTGCGGCGTCAGAGCTGGGAACAGAACACCAGGAACCAGACTCTGCCGGCATGTAAAGTTAAGGATATGTTTGCTGTAAACTAACCCCAATAAATATTGCATTGCCTGGACTTCTGGTCTTCTGCTTTCTGTCTGCATGACAAGAACCAGGGGAGAGGGTAAAGGGAGCATCCTCTAACAATTTCTATGGGCCTATGATAAATGGATTATCATGTTTATTACAATGGTGCAAAGAGTCAACCAGAAACAGAGCCCCATTGTATACAGAGCCAGACACATTCCCTACAGAAAGACACTTACAGTCTAAATCACAAGCCAGCCAAAGGACAAACCATACTAGCAAAATGAACAATGTAATATCGCTAGGGCCCTACCGAATTCACAGCCAAGAAAAACGTGTTATGGACTGCGAAACCTGGTCTCCCCCGGTGAAATCTCATCTTTTGTGTGCTTTTACTCTATCCTATACAGATTTCATGAGAGAGACCAATGCTCCTCAAACTGGGAGTCCTGACCCAAAAGGGGGTCACGGTTTTGCCACTCTTACTTCTGCACTGCCTTTAGAGTTGGGTGGCTGGAGAGTGGCGGCTGTTGGCCAGGCGCCCACTTCTGAGGGCAACGTCCCGCCAGCAGCAGCACAGAAGTAAGGGTGGCAATACCATACCATGCGACCCTTACTTCTGCGCTGCTGCATTCAGAGGTCGTTGGCTGGAGAGTGGCAGCTGCTGACCAAGGGCCCAGCTCTAAAGGCAGCAGCACAGAAGTAAGGGTGGGCATACCATACTATTCCATCCTTTCACCTGCGCTGTTGCTGGTGGCAACTCTGCCTTCAGACCTGGGCTCCCGGGCAGCAGCTGCTGCTCTCCAGCCACCCAGCTCTGAAGGCAGCACAGAAGTAAGGGTAGCAGTACTGCAACTCCCCTACAATAACCTTGCAAAAAAAAAAATACACACACACTCCTTTTGGGGTAGGATCCCTACAGTTACAACACCGTGAAATTTCAGATTTAAATATCTGAAATCATGAAATTTATGATTTTTTAAATCCTATGACCATGAAATTGACCAAAATGGACTGTGAATTTGGTAGGACCCTAGATATCAGCAATTATCTCTCTTCCTCACAGCCCTTTCTTTTGGTTACTTAAATTATTACCGTGGGGAATTTAAACCTTTACTGAAAAGAAAAACTACTCGTCACATTTAAAGCGTTCTTGTTTAGCGTTTGGCCTGATTCAAGATCACTGGCAACATTGTGTGACTAAGTGAAAGAACCTTGAAAAACGGAAGATTTGCCTAAAGAAGACTTTCTTGCTCTATGACAGGTTTCAGAGTAGCAGCCGTGTTAGTCTGTATCCGCAAAAAGAACAGGAGTACTTGTGGCACCTTAGAGACTAACAAATTTATTAGAGCATAAGCTTTATGCATCCGAAGAAGTGGGCTGTATTCCACGAAAGCTTATGTTCTAATAAATTTGTTAGTCTCCAAGGTGCCACAAGTCCTCCTGTTCTTTTTTCTTGCTCTAGAAACAACTCTAAACTGATGACAGGAACAAACGGAACTTCAGTTAGAGACATCAAACAGCGCCTCGTTATTAAGAAGGGCCTCTCCCCCCACCCAAACGAAGAAAAGACTTGGGGGGGGGGGGGACACCTTGTTTTTAACCGTCTCCAAGGCCTAGCTTCCCGTGCGTGGGTTGTAATGACAGCACCATCCACGGCCACTAGACGCTCAGCCAGAGACCCAGTGGCCGACCCGTGCACTAAACACGGCCCCGGTTCCAAGCCAGGCGACAAACTCCAATCTGCCGTTTGAGGCGGTCGGAGAAAACTCTCCCTTCAACACTTCTAAAGGCTCGTGTCTGTCACTTTCCTCGCCGCCGCTATTTGCGGACCGGACCAGCCGACGTTGCCCTGAGGGCGGGAACAGGCAGCACGCGCGCCGGACCGTTAACGGGCCTTTGACGGGACGCGGCAGCGCGAGGCACCACAGCGGTTCTGCCCGCCGAGCCGTGCGCTAGCCCCGGGGTTCGCCGCGGGGACGGGGCTGGCGCTTACGGGCCACGAGGTTCCGCACGGGGAGGGCGCTGTTGGGGCCGCGCGAAGGGTACCTGAGCGGCTGCTCCCTTACCCGGGGTCGGACGGGCATTGGCACCTGGTTGAGGCGCCGGGGCCGTAGGGAGAGATCGGCCTGCGGACACCGCCCAGAGCAGGCAAAATGGCGGCGCAACTGCCCGTGCCGAACGCCGCTGCGACGGGCGCATGCGCCGTGGGCTGCGTTGGGAAGCTGAAGCGGAGCTGAGTGTGAGGCGGGAGGGGGCGTTTGAAGGTTCCTCTAGCTGCGGTAGGGGCGGGCTATGGACTCCCTGTGCCCCCCACCCTATTCACCCACAGTGGTCCTCAGCATGGGGCTGGGCCTGACTGGCTGGCGGGGCTTCCCCAGAGCCCCATGCTTGCTTCACCAGGCCCTTCTCCACAGTGGGGTCAGGCCAATATCCAGCACCTCTGAAAACCCACCTGTAAAACGTTCCTCTCTGCTTCTACAAGAACATCCTGGGTGTGGGCCACTGCACCTGCCCGGCTCCCCACTGCCCCCTCGGGTTCACATCAGCAGCCTCTTCCTCCTCCCAATAATGAGCAAACTCCAAGTGGATGCAAAACATAAGCACTCTCAGCATCTAAAGAGGTGGCCACACCAGGGGAATAGCAAGTTAGCCCACAAAGTCCTTGAAATGCTGTTGGATGCTAAGAATGGTTGTTGGGATGAATTAATCGGGTCATAGTCTCCAAGCATGTGGCCCTCACCTTTGCCAGAGTTTTGTCTGTCTCTGCTAATCAGGGATCTTGGTGGACAGTGGATAATAAGAGCTAGCCCTGGCAAGCTTGGGAGAAATTAAAGCTTTCGGTGCAATACATGGAAATATTCCTATTTGGAAAGTATTACTAATACAAGCTTAGGAGAGAGATGGGACTATTTGGTCTTGATACTATACGTTTTGTACAAATCAGAAGAAAGATCATGCCAACCTGGAGTTAGTTCTCTTTAAAACTCCTGGCCTTTAGGTTATCGTAGTTAAAACATCCATGATAACAAAGTTCAAATATTTTGTAGCAATAGTTTAGTTTCTTAAAATAGATATTTCTAAATGCCTATCATTGAGCTGCCTAAAAGGATGGAAATGTATGTTTCTGGCATTACTTCACAGTTATTAAATTTGCCTCATTATATGACCATTAATAAACTTGCTCCCTTTCTATATTTTTCCTGTTTTTGCAGAAAAGACAATCCATCATATCTGAACACTTTGAACATGTCTCCTATGCAGCCTTGTTAGTAGTACATGGTGCATTAATGTCCAGGAAGGAGATGTTTACATTTAATCTTTCAGGATAGAGAAGCTCACTAACTCTTGGCTGGACACCAAATTCTAGCCCTCATTTACTTCTAAGTGTTGTACCAACCTGGAAATAGGTCTATGCCTTTGGATTGCCATGGAGATGTCAATTATTTAGGTGTGTGAAGTCATGCCACTTTCCAAGAAGCTACTGCAGCAGCATCCCTGATGGGGTCTGTGGTTGCTTTTTTAAGCAACTTAAAAGGGCTGAAGTATTTTTAAATGTCTGTATGAGTGAATGGCAATAGAAGCTGTAAAATATGTACCAAGGTCTGATGCAAATGAATAATAGCATTTCCAAATAAAACTAAAACATCTGGGCTAGATTCACAAAAAGGACTTAGGCACCTAACTGCCACTTTAGGTGCCTAAATCCAGAATCAGTCCCTTCTGAGATTCACAACCTCTGCCCACACACACACATTCAGCTCAGCTGCCACCTAACCCAGCAGGCACCCAAACTCATTGCCTACATTTTTGCAATAAAATTCCTTGTGCAAGTGTATTTCAACCACACACCAGGTGACCGGATGCCTAAGCCTCAGAGTGATTCATGCACTGGGAAAAGATAAGCATCCCTCCACCTAACTGACCCGTGGGCCCCTAGTAAGTAAGTGTGTTCAGACCTTGTCTACTGGATTGGTCCCCTATATGTGAGCTTACCCAAAACAACTGGGGGTGGTGTCCTCTCTCATAGCGTTTTAGTCCAGTGGTTAGGGTACTCACCTGGGAGTGGAAGACCCCAGTTCAAATCCCTTTTCCACCTGAGGGAGAAAAGGGATTTTAACTGGCTCTGTCATTTCTCAGATTAGTGTCCTAACCACAGGGTCATATCATATGCTAATGCTTCCTCAGTCTCTCCTGTTGAATATGTTCCACTGTAGATCTTTTTGTTTGTTTGGTTTGGGTTTTTTTGTTTATTTGAAAGCAGATGGACCAGGGGACTGGATACTGAGTCTTCTACCACTACCACCCCCTGTTAAGTGAATGTTCTCACCACCAACCTACAGAGCCATTCTCACGTGGGGTTCTCTCTCTCTCTCCCTCTCTGGCCTAATGATCTATCGTTATTTAACCACAGTAGAACAGCTTCAACAGGTGAGACTGAGGGAGTCTCACATCATAATATGCCGTAGGGCAGTGGTTAGGGCCTGCACCTGAGCAGAAGCGGATCCCTATTCAAGTCACATTTCCCCACATGAAGGGCATATTTCAACTGGGGGTCTTCCACATCCCAGCTGAGTACCCTACACTAACCACTGGATTAAGAGTTATACGGGAAGGCCTCCTCTCCTGGCTTCCTGCTAAAACAGCATAAGCACTTAACGCCAAGACAGGGTTTTCAGAGGGAACTGCCTCCTTGCACCCTGGACTTAGTCACCTATGTCTAAAAAGGGATGGGGGTTAGCACACACACCCTGCGGCTTGGCATCTCCCACTGCCTGGCTTAGGTGAGGAGCTGCCTAGAGTGCTGACTTTTGTGAACCCCATTCTGAGGCACTTAGCTCTTTACATTCATTGTATAGGGAGCCTAGGCACTGAACTCAGGCTTTGTGAATCCCATGATTTTCTGAGTGCCTAAAAATTTAGCGTGGCAATATTCAGCATCACCCCACATAAATTTCTTTGTGAATCTAGCCCATGGTGAATGACTCCGATTTGTTATTCTTTATAATAATCTTCCATAGATAAGAGAACAAATGCTGGTGCGTATAAGAAATGAGAGAAATAAAAATAATCTCTTACTCAAGAACCTCGAAGGGAAAAAAATCCATTTAACCATAGCTCCAGATATGGAGCTAACTGTTGGGTGAAGAGACTATTTTCTTTTCTAGTGCAGCTGTGCACTACAGCCAGACCTTTACACAATAGGATTTCATACATCATACATCTGGTAGAAGTTCTGCTATCTTTATATAGGCAGAGATTTGGAAGAGAAAAAAGTACAAAACAACTACACCAAAATTGAGGCTACAGCAGAGGTGCTGGAACAATTTGTATAGTCGGGGTGCTGAGAGCAATTGAATCAAACTGTAAACACTGTATATAATGGAAATCACTTCAAGCCAGGGGGTGATTGCAGCATCCCCTGCATCCCTAGCTCCAGCAGTGTACTTTTTCTTACTCTTTCTTTGAAAGAGCCTAATCTAATCCACAGCAACAACTGTGTGGTGCTGATAACTGAGTAGCAGCCACTAGGTGGCAGAAACAACCAAAGATGGCCCTTAGTGAAATACTTGACAATATACTAGTATTGCTTCAACAGTTTGACCAATGAAGCAATTAAATCAGCCTGTTCTGTCCTGAAATACAAGTGTGTGTGTGTGTGTGTGTGTGTATATATATATGGGGGAACTTTGAAGATCACATTTGCACTATTAAAAATGTTTTCAGATAATTGCTATAATTTGTATTAACATTGAAGCATCTTGATTTATGTACACAGTGCAGTTCCCTTTGAAAATATTTTATTATATAATACATTACTCTTGTAGTCACTGTGTTTTTGAAAATTATCTTTATATCATCAGTAACCTGTTATTACACTGTTATAAACTCAGCAGTTTATACATCAAAAAGCAGTCTGTGGAAGCTATGAAATCATGATAGAAAAAGCCAATATCTTCTACTACTACTTAAAATGCATATAGCACTTTACAAGCAATGAATAACTCCTCATAAAACCCCAAGCAGGTAAGAAAGTATAATCCCCATTTTATAGATGGGGTAGCAGACAAAGGAGTTAAGTGGCTTGTCCCTGGCCACAGTGGAGTAACTGGGAGGAATTTTAATAAGAGGGACTGTTATTCAGATTATTCTGTTTTACCCTGAGGGCTTGTTTACACACACAAGTTGTGTCGCTTTAACTATATTGGTATAATTAAAGCAGTACAACCTCCTACCTCAATGTGTGTGTAGTTATATTGGTATAAAGGTGCTTTATACTGGTATAGCTATTCCCTTATGAGAAGGAGAATAACTACTCCTGTATAATTCACCTCTGTACCAATATAACTCCATCCACAGTAGGACTTTTACCAATAAAACTATTTTAGTTTAAAAAAATCACAGCCCTAACCCAAATAGTTACACTGGTAAAACTTATAAGTATACACAAACCTAAGATTTTTGAAGGGAAAATCAGGGAGTGCACGTGCAGTGTAACTGTGTCATTTTAAAGGTTAAATGATATGTCAGATGAATGGTAAAGCAATTTAGTGCATGCATTGATGGTGGGTGATCTAACAGAATTGTGAGTCATGGAATCATATAAACTAAGAGGTGGAAAAGAGACCTATTAAATCATCTAGACTGTCTGGTGAGGAGACAGACTAGATGATCTAATAGGTCTTTAGCATCTTTCATTTCTATGATCCACATCAGTTAACCAAGGTGTGGCCTGAAACCTGCAAACTGGTCCATGTGGAAAAACCCTTATGCTCCCTCAGAGCCCCATTGGCACCAATTTGGGGGAGGGGGCTGCCTGAGCAGATTTGCTTGAACGTTCAAGGCCTTAATTTGTACTCTATTAAACCTGTTCCAAAGAGTTCACCTGTATGACTTTTGCAAATTCAAAGAGAAATTTCAGGCAAGCTTATCCAAATAAACTCTTTGGACTGGGAATTATCTTTGTATATGTTCATATGAGGCCAGATCAACAAAGGGACTTAAGTGCCTACACTCTGAATCCCAGTTTTAGGCAACACTGCAATCCACAAAAACACCGCTCAGCTTCTGCCTGAAGCTGTATGCTCCTAAACTCACCTGGTGCCTAAATTTCCACTGTAAAAATTCTCTAGGTCCCTATGTTCCACCTCTGGGTATGCACACTCTGCTTCACT